TCTTATCTATTCGTTTTAGAGGTCAACGATTCTTCACAATGAAAACCTCAAAAGATGTCTCAAGGTCTCATTACGAAAAAGTCAGCAAGCCATCTTATCTATTCGTTTTAGAAGGTCAACGATAAACAACTCTTTCAATACACTGGCTGTCACATCAGAGCTTAAGAAATATGGATGGCTTCCTTTAGGGCTGTAGAAGACCGTCTCCAGGAAGGCGAAAAACTGTCTTTTCACGGGCTTACATCTAGCATCGAATAGCTGTGAAGAATTACGTAAGCCTGCACAAACCAAGGGTGACTACACATTTAGGGTTCTATGCAAGAACGAATAATCTTGCCAGAAGAGTGGTCCTTTAGGCCTTCCCTTTGCAATGAAGCATTTTTGTGAGTGCCCCACACACTTAATAATGTGGCCTCTTCGGTCGTACGGCTCCCCTTAATTGGGACGGTTTTGGGGTATCACTTTCTCTTTGTTTTAACTTCCTTCACTAAGAAACACTCTCTGTTTGGAAACGATTCTGGATTGACAATTGCTGCAAATTTTCAAGTGTTGATTCACACAAGCTGAACTGACTTCGGATGGGTTACCACGGAAAACATTCATTGCCAACACAAACCTCTTAGTGGATACAACTTTCTTGAACCACACTCTTGTATGAATAATAATTCCAGATTGAGGGTGGTAAGAATGGCTATTTCCAGTCTCCAGCATGAGAATAACATAGGAGTTATTCACCATACAGAACTCGTTAGAAGTATTCCCCTCTGGAGAAAGCATCCTTGATGGAAATCGCCTTTCCTGAGTTAAATAGCAAGTACTATATTTTACCTCGGAAAGGCCATCTGCTGTTTTAAGCATTGTATAACACTCACCACCGACGTAAGGGGAGGTTCGTGCTATCCTGAAAAACAGTCACTAATGATTCATAGGACGAAAACCGGTCACCTTTTGCAGTCACTTCGACCATTTAGCCTAAGCATAATCCTGCCTATACTCAGTAGCCCTTCGTTCCGATCCTATTTGGTTCCGGGATTTGTTGGAGTGAAACCATCTGACGTTTTTGGTCTCTGAAAGCTCCTTGCATCAAGCTAACTTTAATGTTACACAGTGTAGTAACCATAGTTGATCACAGAGCTCTGTGCTTTGTCGACCAGGGTGCAGTAGTGTGTTCCTAGTGGATTCTACATATGTATGCATTGGAGTTTGCTTGTTCAGAAACTACTTCAAAATCCAAAACGTCACACACCAGAAACAGTAAAACTAGGATCGTAAAACTGGGTATTATGAATTTCCGTCTTTTCTTTTCAGCTCTCTTTGGTTGCCTCTGAGGAATAACAAGTCATGTGGTGGGGAAATCGAGGGGATTGGTCTGGTCAGAGGAGGAGGACCGTGATGAGAAAGAGGCAAAGTAATGCTCTCACAGAGAGCCTCTCAAGGGAAAAAGCCAGGATGGGAAGAGTATTCTTTTGGCTTTCGTTGCAGTCCACTTTAGCGAAGCACTTTGGACCTCCGGAACCAAAAAGGTAACCCTGTATCTTTACCTAAATGGCTTAAAGTCGATGACGATAGGAACACCTTATGCGATTGACTGATTCATGGGCGAAATTACTTGTTCGAGTGGTCCACTTCACAGAGAAGCCGCTGCACTAAACCCCAAATGAAGCAACTCTTTTTGAAGGGAGTCAGTTTAACCAACAAGCTAGCTTTAGATACACGTACAGTCCACAAAACTGAGACACAGGAGGAAGCAACCCCTGATACTTTGAAGATTTCATATTACTACTAAAGGCAGTTGTTTTCGTTGTGTTTAGTGGCTCGCATGCATGTTTTTGCTCGACCATAAAAGCGTTGGTTCCTAGGGACATAAATAACGGAGGATGATGTATAAATGCTCGTCACATTGCACAACTTTGTGTGAACCGTCCAGAAGCAGTAGTACTCCATACCTGGCTTCTTCAGATCAAGAGAAGTTGAGAAAATCACCTCATCCAAGGAAACCCTTAGGAGATATCGTGCAAGCAAAAATTCATTATTTTAGCGCAGAATGCACTAAATCCCCCCGGCAGGCCATCACATCAATCTAGGAAGCTTATTGGAAGCCCCTCAAAGAGCGTCCTAAAGAAGGGTGTTCTGTACACCCAAGACGTACCCACAATACCAAAGGTGATGGAACCCTACAAACTTGACAGATTTTTTATATTAACGCAAAAATAAAACAAGCCATTTCCGACCGTATGAAGGGGAGGCTAGTTGAAAACAACTATATCCAGCAAATTGGCCTCATCAAGACGAGTTAGTTGAAGTAACAAGAACAATTTGGCTTCTGTTACTATTCTAGTGAGACTGGCCGCGAACAACTGAAGCCGGTCACTTAGGTGTTGCGGTGAGTTACTCAAGGCTGTACTAATAGATATAATAAACTAGAGCTTTTAAGTTGCAATCGGACGTTGGTCTTTCTAAAGTCATCAAACTAGCGAAAGTTGTATATATACTTGTACAACATAGAGAAGCACCGTTTCTGTAAGATACACATGTATAACCCTTAAAACTGTTAGGGTAAACGGAAAAAAGTTTGACAATATTTACACTGATAAGTAACAGAAAGCGCTGCATTGAAAACAAGGTGGCCTCCTGCTTGGAAAATAGAATCGCCAACGGATGGCGACGGTCCATGACACACGTATGCCAACTAGACTGACCGTCAACGACAGTCAGAAGAATCGCTGAACTAGACAACTACCATAAGAACTTTTGTGTATATTCGGAAAGATTGAAGGATAATTTGGAAGATCTTAAAGTGGAGTGTCAGTCTGAACATAGAAATGACAAGAAAAGGCATGTCGTTGATGCTGTGAAGTTCACACAACTTCGGCGCCTATATCTGTGCCCCAAGAGCCATTGACGCTTGCAAGGGAGTAATTTTTGCACCATGCCTGCTGATTAAAAAGTGAGCTCAGTAAATTTCGCCCGAACTCTGGGCCAGTTAGTTGTTCGACGTTTGGACTGTGCGTATCGTTTTATCTCTTCAAGTAAGTTTTAAGTAGTATGGTTTTCTGGTATTAGCTGAATGGTTACTTGGTGCTACAACAGGCAACGCTTCGAGTAGTTGACGTGCGCTCAAGGATTGTCGTTACTCATATGGTGCATTCTAGAAAAACACATTGCAAGCGCTCAGTATTCCGAAGAAACCTAGAAAATGCATTTAGAATAAAAGGAAACAGAGAATGCACATATACCTGATTGGTTCTACTATTCTGATTTCCAGTCAAACTAGCTTTGCCAAATGCTAATCCAATGCTCGTTTTATTGGCAGTTTTAAAGAGAAGTCATCGAATACAGCCGAATGGCTTCAGTCTGAGGGCTACAGAGTTCACTTCGTTGCAGCAAGTAGCTGACCGCGGTTGGTCGCCAATTTTTGGAGTGATTACCCAAAAGTGTCTAGTACAGTAGCGATAAAATAAAAATTCTTACCGTGTATGCCAAAATAACGATTAATTCGTACTTACTGAAGCTAGCGAATTACCGTCTGGTCATTCTTATCGCCCAATGCTGAGGATAAACCTGACAAATTCTTGATTCTTGATCAGATATCAGCTCCAAAAGGACAATTTCTGTTAAACTTAGTCTTTCTCGATCCTTCGAAGCATATTAACTAAACTGATCATTTTCACTCGTAGAAATTACCATTTGTAACATTTGCACGGTTTTTAAGACTGATAGCCTTCCAAAGTAGTCAGAAAGCTCAACCAAGTGGTTGGAAGAAAATTGGGTGGATCGATAGAAAATCTAAGTTCTAATCAATAAGTACTTTCGGCAGTTTCCAGAACGTTGAAGTTACATGGGTTTGACTTACCGGACTCCTCCGAGTGTGCACAGTTATTGTTGTCCCAATCAAGAATTGGTTCAGTCGAAGTCTTTTGATTTGTTTCTCGAATAATGGAGTCTATGGAAAAAGCTGAAGCTTTGTTCGAAAGACTTTTTGCAACACCTTCTTCGCGCAGTGGAGAAACTAGCCGTCCAGTTCTCGGAGTATCGGTGGATTCAACCAGATGGGAGGAAGTGCGTGGATGGGTAGAAGCGTAAATGACATCTTTCTTGAAAGATTCGTTGAGCTGTCCAGAATCAATGCGTTTCACCTCTTTGCTGTGCCGGCCAACCAGTGTTCTGTGTTTCTTGATCTGTCTATTCGGGTTTGCTCCCAACTCACCACTTCCAGTGAAGCGTCGTTTCTTGATGAATTTCAGGAATTGATTGTTTCTCTGTCCAGGTTTTCGCTCATCCATGTTCAGTTTAATACCGGTTCCTTGCAGAATATTTGTGTTAGGTACATCGGATGATAAGCCAGCGGATGACACGGCTTTACCAGTCTGTGTCTCTGTTCTGGTTCCCAAACTTCTGATTTCAGGGTGAACCGATGTCCATCTCTGTATGGATGTCCCTTGTTTTCCCTCACAGGCGACGTTTGCCGAAGAAATTTGTTTTTCAGGATGTTTTAACATTCAGCGTGTGCGCTAGTCTCGCGTATTAGACACCGTTATCGCGTAAAACGAACAGTATGTAGACCATCTGTTCAGCGTGTGCGCTAGTCTCGCGTATTAGACAGCGTTATCGCGTAAAACGAACAGTATGGAGTACCATCTGTTTTGAGCGAGAGAGCTTTGGTGCGAGAGTGTGAAAGAAATCACGTACATGACTGCTGTCCACACATTTGAAACACACATACACAACTTCGAGTCTCGTGCTTCTCACCATTTGCAAAGCATTCGGTTGTTAATTTTCAGGGCACGAATACGCACACAGACGGATGGACTGTCCAACGGCCACACGCCTCTCGGGCAATGGTGCGCGTGAATATGTTCCGACCACTGCCCTAGTCAGCACTGTCGGTTGTTCGATCCTGGTGCTTGTCAACCTCGAAAAACTTGTCACCAGGTTGTACACCGACCGGACCAATCGGAATCAGCTCAACAACACTTCAGTTCATACGGTCGTGTCCCACATCAACACAGTTTCGCGCTGTTCGCACCCTGCTGAGCGGGCGCGCGGGTGAGAGCGAGCGTGCGCGTGGGAGACAACCGTTCGACTGCGCCGCAAACATACACGTGCACACGCACGCAAAATGGCGGAAAACTCAATACGATGGTACACGTGCACAATGCCTGCGCGCAGACCTGACGACAGGAATGAGAGTCAGACTATGGGCAACAGGCGAAAATAGTGTCTCACAAAATGGCATTTACAAATTCCTGTGATTGGTCCATCGCTCAACGCAGCGGAAGCTTGAATGTGCACCGACGGTCAGCTTCAAGCGAAATCGACACAGGCCCAGACGGGATGTCAGGCGACTATCACCGACACGAAAATAAAACTTACGACGAACCAGACATATATAGTTTTTATCAGATAACACTTCAGGATCCACTTAGTTTTCGTCTTAATATTCCAAACAAGGCATTTCTTTGCAATAATGCGCAGCGATGCTGACTGAATGCTGCATTCGTGTTTATCGGTGATTTGCCCCTGAGCTTATTTCCATCCGAGGAGTCTGTGATTCGGAATTTTACAGACGGTTGTCCTATAGTTCCCAAAGTATTCCTCATCAAGGACATAATTCACAGTTTCTTGTGTCCAAACACTCTAACACAGTGAACTCTAGCACAGTGAATCCCAAACCATTTAGGACCATGCTTAATTTCAGTGTGTGGACAAAGGTGATGGCCTGCTTCACTTTCATCCAAAATGAAGCAGGATACACTGCTTCTTCCGAAGGTCGGACACTCGTGGTCTGAATCAAGCTCTTCTTTGAAGTAGCATAAGCCCTGAATTAGGCACTTAAGTGAAGAGTTTATATATGAGTGGTATGATAGAAAATTCATTAATAGTTTGCCTGCTTAATTTCCTGCGAAAAAGGGAAGAACGCCATTACGATATTTCAAATATCTCACCAAATGAAATATGGGCCCGGGCCCGAGAGATCTAGCCGAGTTTCAGGGGAATCTCGCGTGAAAGGCTATTAATTTAGCCCTTCCTGATAAATGGTTTGGCGATTTCTTACACAGATTGTTCGGTACGAGTTCCCTCAGGGCGTATTATGAAACAATGGAATCAATCCATAATTCGAGGGTTGTATTTCCTAAGACTAGACGTAACAATCTCAACGGTACCTTGTTCTGTCTAGGTGCGAGTTAATCACACTGCTGATCAACCGCCCGTGGCCGAACGGTTAAGTGTTCAAACTACTGGCCAGGAGGTCGCGGGTTCGAGACTCTCCGGGGTTTCGTGAGATGCGCACTGCTGATTAGTCCCAATAAGGATGAAATAGCTGTACAGTGCTTCTCGGCTTTTCGCCATGGATTGGCTTCAGTTAAAGGACGAAATCTCCGCAAAAATTCCCGCATCTCCTCACACTACTAACTACCTTGTTCTGTTTGTTCCGAAAACCCCTTGTGAGCCATAACTTTGAAGGACTCAACCACTTTAGGAATAATTGTGTCTGGTACTGGTTGTGGCGCGATCTCAAACCCGCCCGCGCAAAATGTTGAGCCAAATATTAATCAGTTTAAATATTTGACCAAATAATTAACTGTGATATGACTGATCTTTTCTTGGAAACACCTCTCTTGGACGACGCATAGTCTATTGCCTGTGATAAAACAAGCAAACAAGTATCTAAGTGGGAAGTAGAACTAGTACGATAACTACTCAAAAGTAGTAAGTAGCATTGGAATGTAACACGTACTGAAAACCACTCATTAACCAATTAAGTGGGAATTTCGAATGAAGCCTGGTTGAATATCCCGTTTAAATTATTTACTGACTGGTGCCACACGTAGAACCACATTCTAGACGTCGAATTACTTATGTTGATCCAAACCACTTATCTAAGGTTTGTTCAAAACTGTTTGACAGCCAATCACCGGCTTTGTTGTTCTTGGGTTCACCGGATGAGTCCGGAAAAATAAGATTGGAGCTAGAGCACGCGTAGTACACTATTCTTCTGTCACACTCGATACTTATTTACCTGACCTTCATAATTACAAAAATTCGATTCAGGCACATTGTAATGGGAACAATGAATCCACAAAACATCTCAAAAGCCAGCTGAAGTCCGTTGGAGTCTCGCTAAAGCTGCTTAATTTTTTCATGAAATCACGATGTTTCTTTTTTCCCCGAACCCTTGAGCCGCTTTTTCTTTTACGGGATCTAACAGTGTTGTTCTCTCTTGTGTTACTAGTGCATACAGATTTAAGACTTCACAGGTTTAGAATTGTCTTCTTTTTAGCATATTTACAAGAACGGATCATATATGCGAGTACACAGCCTCCGTCTTCAGTCCTAGCGACCGAGGAAACTGTTCAGTGTGAAATCTAGTAATTCTGATCGCAAGCGGGTGTGTTTGAGAATTCAGTTGTCGTCAGGCCCGAAACAATTGCGTACGAAAACTTCTGGCCACGAGGAATAATCCCCATCTACACCTACGATAGACTGTCTCCGAAAGAGGATTTTGTCGGTTTCCGAAATTAACCAGAAGGGTCCATTATCTACTATGTAGAACTTGTCCATGTGATCTTTACGCGTAGCATCAAGGTCTACTTATTGATCACAGTCACATAGGTTCGGTCTATCGATCTCAGACATAGTTAAAATAGACGTGGACTTATCTCAAGTCGCATCCCGAGCAGGATGGTTTTTTTGGGGTGGTCGGACAGGGCAATATCGCACGGCAAACAAACATCAGCTGAAAACCAGCTTCATTTAACCCGTTTCATTATACTACTGCCAGAAAGAAAATAAGGCACACTGCCGTTTGGAAATTACATAGGAGCGGGATTGCGCAGTGCAACGAGACCAATGAAGGTCCATAGTAAAGTAGTCAGCTGATCTAAACAACCATATGTGATAAAATCCCAGGATGTTTACGCAAGCCACATCAGCATCTTAGATAGCAGGATGCTGTGTTGCTTACCTCTAAGGCAGTTAAACATATTATTCACCACTACTAATACATACTTTCTGAGTGGACAACGTAAGCGGATTCCCTAAGCCTACATTTTGAATTGCAAGCTCTTCTTAGGAGGAGGCAATTTCTAACTGTTTGATGCCTTCACATTACACTCATATTATGGAGACCTTGTAGAACGTAGTGTGAACTATTGCAATTGAGCATGCGGCCGAAGCAAAAGACACATAAGGTTACTGAAAATTCTTCGACAGCCCTCGACCGTTTTCGCCCTTGTTGAGACTCATCAGGTAGGCGCAGTCTCCGAGTTTCCGTCAACCTTACGTTCTACTTGAAACCAGAGTGCACGAAATTTGCAAACCAATTTAGTTTTGCGGGAGACTCACCTGGAACCCTCTCTCATCTATGGTGTTCTCAAAACCCAAGAAGGGTCGTGGGCTGTCGAAGAACTTTCAGAAAACTTATGAGTAGTGTATTGCGTCTACGCATGTATCTCGATATCCCGAATATCTTATCAACTGGTTGTTCTCTCTTGTGTTACTAGTGCATACAGATTTAAGACTTCACAGGTTTAGAATTGTCTTCTTTTTAGCATATTTACACGAACGGATCATATATGCGAGTACACAGCCTCCGTCTTCAGTCCTAGCGACCGAGGATACTGTTCAGTGTGAAATCTAGTAATTCTGATCGCAAGCGGGTGTGTTTGAGAATTCAGTTGTCGTCAGGCCCGAAACAATTGCGTACGAAAACTTCTGGCCACGAGGAATAATCCCCATCTACACCTACGATAGACTGTCTCCGAAAGAGGATTTTGTCGGTTTCCGAAATTAACCAGAAGGGTCCATCATCTACTATGTAGAACTTGTCCATGTGATCTTTACGCGTAGCATCAAGGTCTACTTATTGATCACAGTCACATAGGTTCGGTCTATCGATCTCAGGCATAGTTAAAAAAGACGTGGACTTATCTCAGTCGCATCCCGAGCAGGATGGTTTTTTTGGGGTGGTCGGACAGGGCAATATCGAAAACACGGCAAACATCAGCTGAAAACCAGCTTCATTTAACCCGTTTCATTATACTACTGCCAGAAAGAAAATAAAGCACACTGCCGTTTGGAAATTACTTAGGAGCGGGATTGCGCTGATATGGAGGGGAGTATAAACGAAAGTACATTCTACCAGTGCAACGAGACCAATGAAGGTCCATAGTAAAGTAGTCAGCTGATCTAAACAACCATATGTGATAAAATCCCAGGAGGTTTACGCAAGCCACATCAGCATCTTAGATAGCAGAATGCTGTGTTGCTTACCTCTAAGGCAGTTAAACATATTATTCACCACTACTAATACATACTTTCTGAGTGGACAACGTAAGCGGATTCCCTAAGCCTACATTTTGAATTGCAAGCTCTTCTTAGGAGGAGGCAATTTCTAACTGTTTGATGCCTTCACATTACACTCATATTATGGGGACCTTGTAGAACGTAGTGTGAACTATTGCAGTTGACCATGCGGCCGAAGCAAAATAACATAAGGTTTATTGAAAATTCTTCGACAGCCCTCGACCGTTTTCGCCCTTGTTGAGGCTCATCAGGTAGGCGCAGTCTCCGAATTTCCGTCAGCCTTACGTTCTACTTGAAACCAGAGTGCACGAAATTTGCAAACCAATTTAGTTTTGCGGGAGACTCACCTGGAACCCTCTCTCATCTATGGTGTTCTCAAAACCCAAGAAGGGTCGTGGGCTGTCGAAGAACTTTCAGAAAACTTATGAGTAGTGTATTGCGTCTACGCATGTATCTCGATATCCCGAATATCTTATCAACTGAAGCCAGAAGCGGCCTGGTACAGTACATTCAGCTGCTTGAAAACATCACAAGGGAGAATTTCAGTTGTTTTCCAGCTGAGTCTCCGGCAAAACCAGATTTACTTGCAAATGAATGTATTTCGCTAAAAATTCGGGTGTCGTTTAGAGAATACGCAAAGACCGCTGGTGGTGGAAACTCCTGATGACTAGTTTCTCGAGCCGCAGCTTATCATTTGGAAGGTTAATGCTTTGCGTCAGTCGCCTGCAGGTCGATGACAGTGCGGGCTGGTTCAGTGGATATTACGTCTCGGTCTAAGTTGAGCATACTGCTGCTCAGCAACTTTCGGCCGAATGGTTTACTCTTCAATCACCATACGGGGGGTCACAAGTACGAACCCCCCTAGATGTTGATAGGATGTCTATCTTTAAAAATTTATAACAAGAGTCCAAAAAGGTCGCCATGTCTTAACGATAGCTGACCGACTCATTGATCCCCAAAGTTTGACAGACTTTTGACTGTCTTGCATGTATCAGGTCCCGATGTTGTTGGCCCACGAGGACGTCCAAACTACATACAACCAATTGGGTGCATGACCGATATTCACGAGGTCTATCGTTAGGCTCTGTTGACTCCCTTTTTGCGGTTCAGAGTAGGCTCGGGAAGATTAGGATAAATTGATTTCGATTCGGTTGTTCGCAATTTTTTGCGCCACGGGACTCACGACCTCATCAATATTTACTCTGTAGCTTTGGTCCTTCCATTTTATTAGGCGATACGATGCGCAAAATCCCTCACCTTAGGATATATTTGACTTTCCAGAGCCGGGATAAATCATCTCGTTGTAATTCTACTTGCTTTAGAAGAATGCATTTCCATTGGAGCACACCCTGGTACCCGTGAAGCTTCTGTACAAAGGGCCTTCGAAGAAACGGACTTCTTGAATCCATTAGAATTGAGTGCATTTTTCAGAACAATGTTTGCTAGGAGTCGTTGATTTTTCGGCCCACAAGAGATCACGTCTCGGAAGAAACCATTTCGGGCTACTTCATTCAGCGGCACTCTTCAGAAGGATGAAATTACAGCCAGAAGTGCAGCGGATAGGATATTTGGTAGCTGAGATCCAGTTACGACTGACAAATCTTTCGATTTCCGCCGGCCTGAAAAGGAAAAGAAATGGATTTTTTCTGAAACAGCTGATATTGCAACCATGGGAGTTCTCGCTAGGTCGAAAACAGTTCCAAGACTATATGACCGGACATCCCCGCAGCACATGCTATCCCGATGCAATCTTCCCAACTCGGGAAATACTGGAGAGCAAAAGTTGTAAACAGTAAGGAAGTTGCGTGTATCAAAACACAACGTGACACAATATGCATCGTATGAGCGAAACAACTCATCGAGCAGTGGTGGATATTGTTTGATATGGGCTAGTCGACAACAGTTAAAAGACGGCGAACACGTGCAACAGTGGAATTGAATTTGACCGACTCCTACAGAATCCAGAAAACAAAGTGACGAAAATCAATGTCTGTGCCATTTCCTCCTCTGGTCAATACAGATCGAGGGATTAGAAACCTAGTTTTGGGTGATCCATACGAGTAAAAAGAGGACAAATCAGTCTGCGGGCAAAAATGTGAAGACTGCGTCACTTTCGGTTGGCCCGTGTGGGCAGCGGCCATGTGAGCAGACCATGGCAGACTTCATACATGTACACATGCTTTCTGTGAGTGAATCGCGACTGCATTATCTCTGACAATACATTGGCATTCACGGGTCGTGGCAGTTAGGTAGATAGGCGGTTGGCATAATATTCGAAAGGTTCCGTCGGAAATAACCGCACGACTTGCGTCAGCCACATGAGCGGCCAGTGCGCCAGCAATAAAGCTTTCTTATCCGGTTGGTCATCAACCAAAAGGGGTTATACTCCTTTATTATCTCGCACGAGTGACGTTTCATGTGCAGGTGAAGGAGTGGACCATCATGCTTCGAGCGTGGACCAGCAACTTATCTTTGAGTAGTTATCAGCTGAGTAGTTGTTATCCGTATATTGAGTAAAGAAACCGAAGAGGTTATCCGGTTTGTGTGATCTAGACGCCGAGTCAGGAAGTCTGTGGCAAGATTTCCTTTAAAAAAAGACAAATAAAGATAGATTTCCTTCTGAGATTGACCGGTCTGTCCTTCAAAGTTGTAGAAGAAGTGTTTTGGGACGGACCTGTCCACGAAGCATACTAGCTAGCGAGTGAAGCATGTCTTTCAGTTCGCTTTCAGAAAAGATCTTCCTTGTCATGATAGCAAGACAGTGAAATTTAATTCGTTCGTGGTTTATTAAAACGAGGTTATTCGATTTGTATTGCCCGTCCAAGTAAAATTCAGGTAATCGGAGCTTTTAGCTGATCCAGCAAGTGCTCTTAGCAGCTTCGAATTCAGGAAGAAGAAAGAGTGGTTATTTTCATGTTCGGATGTGAACTGAATAGCCTGATGTGCTTAATTAAAATTTGTTGAAATCTCCGGTGCATCTAAGGATTTGTCTATGATGATGAATGTTTTGCTGGGCCCTAGCAAGACAAGCTCAGTGAAGTTGATTATACAGACGCCCCACAATCGTCTCAGAAAATACGAAAGACTGATCAGTGAAAGCAAGACAAACTGTTTAACTAAAACCGGCCCGCAGCACTTGCCAAAACTTGAAGCAGTAATCAGACACCGAGTAGACAATGCCAAGAGTAAAGGCAGAACAGCCATGGAAACGAAATTGCGCAAAGACACGAGGAACAACAGATACAATAATTACGTTTGGATCCAAAACCTATCTGGCCGTCAACTCAGTACGGCTGAACAAGAACTTGTAATGAAAGGATCCAACTTCGACATCGAGGACACATCCCACAAAGATTATCCAGCCAGCTTAGAACACGTCTTGAAATCAAACGAAGTGTCCGAGGAGGTTCAACAAAAAATCCAACAGATAATCATACCGGCAATCACACGGAACAGCAATAGGTTACTGCTTTCCAAAGAAAAAGGGAACACTGAGAGTTCTAAAGTAGGATAAAACACTCATTATACTACTGGCGCCACGATTGCAAGCCAGATTATACTGAAAAGGCCAAACAACTACGCAGTGACCAGACGACCTACAGGTCAATCAGTCATGACCTAACCTCGAACAGTATCAATCGAATCTACACGACACTGAGGCAACTACAGTCACCACACGAGATAACCAGCCAGGAACGATGGAAACTGGAAGCCGATGACACCAACATTGCACAATTCTACGGACTAGCTAAGGTGTACAAAGAAGGAACTCTACTTCGACCAATCGTTTCCCTTCCGGGAACTGCATCTTAAAAATTAGCAAAAGACCTACTGAGGAGATTGAGACACCTAACTTCTGAACCGGAACATACAAACACCAACTACAGAACGTCCTTTTAGAAGGTGACGAAATCATGTTTTCACTCGATGTCACATCGCTGTTCACTTCAATCGACCGGAGAAATCATGACAGAACTTCTTCGGAATAATCCAGACACGACAGGAACCATGAAACCCGAAAGTCTATGCAAGCTGTTGGACTTTTACTTGGATACATACTTTAGCTTTGATGGACAAATATATTAACAACTGAAATGGATTCCAATGGGATCCCAATATCAGGATTTATTGCTAAGTTGTTAATGCAAAGGTTAGAGCATACGGTTCTGCCGATCATCAATCCAAAGCTGTGGATCCGTTACCCGGACGACACCTTTGTCATCATGAAACGGGATTCAGTACACGAGGCACATGAACTGCTCAATACCATGTTTGAAGATATTAAGTTTACAATAGAACTGGAGAGGAACAATGAACTGCAATTCTTGGACGTTTTAGTAAATAGAAAGATAGGTGAGACTCTGGAAACCTGCGTATACCGGAAGGAGACTCATACGAATCAAATACTGAACTACAACAGCAATCATCCAGTAAACCAAAAGAAGAGCTGCATCCAAACCTTGTTCAAGAGGGCGGAGACAGACTGCAGCACCACAGAACTGCGGAAGGAGGAAGAAAACCATCTATTCAGAGTATTCCGGAACAATGGATATCCGAGGAATTTTTATCAAGAGAAGCTTGAAGAAGACATCTCAGCAACAGAAACAGCGAGAACAAGCGACCAGACGGGTAGTTCTATCTTACACACAAAGCATATCTGAACTCACAGCCCGAAAAGAATCGTCGTGGTTCAAAAACCGAATGCTACGTTGAGGCAACGGATCTCCAGACCGAAGGACAATCAAGACAAAACGAAGAGAAACAGTGTGGTATACCAAATCAACTGCAACAACTACAACAAATTCTTTGTTGGATAAACTGGGAGGAAATTATGCACACGAATAAAGGAACACAACGCGGCCGTCAGGAGACATGACCCGTTATCCTTGATATCCATACACGAAGACCAAGAAGGCCACAAATTCAATATGGAAAACGTGGAAATTTCGGCTTACGGAGACGCGAGACACGAGTGGGAATTTCTGGAACCACGGTACTCCATGGCTGATTCGATCAACCGATGCAGTGAACTGGGCCCAATTTACGCACCAATAAGTGCAAAGGACCAACTCGTCCGCCGGAATACTCAAGGAGAGCCAGATATCGGATTCACAAATCAAGAAGCAAGGAACTCCTTGGAGTCGGATCAACAAAGGTCACAAGCCGGAACCCAGAGGTATCAACGACAGACGTCACTCCAGCATCTATCAGAGCACAAGGGCACGGAGTCCAGGTTCAAACGTCTCGTGATCGTCGATCAGTCAGGACACAAGATAACAAAGCCCGACCGAACAACTAATGGTGATCGAAGGTCAGCTCCGGCTAGCGGTATTTATATTAAAAACACACACAACACTACTCAATACACAACCACCGACCCGCCGCTCTGCTCCACTACGATCCCTAACAACACACTGATGATGTCGTTTCGATTGGTGATAGAACGTTTACAATCAACTTGGTCAGTTCAGCGAACAAACCAACGACCATCTATGCTAACTGAGCTATAGCTACAGCAGTGCCAAGTCTACATATTGCCGATTTTTCTATACTCAAACAGAGTTTATGGTTTTCAAGGCGTCCTGAAAAACCCCAGCGAAGACTGATCCTGGCGGAGAATCCGTTGCGGCACCATAAACTTGTTGATACAGCCTTCCGTTGAACTGAGATTGCACATGGAATGAGCATCGTATTAACAATAGGAATAGTTATTCGTATATTTTCGAACTTTATGCAGTCACGGGAATAACAGGTGGTCGCTCTGGTAGGGAGGTTAGTGAATAAGAAAGATATGTCGAGCGAGGTGATGTGCTTCTAGTCCATATTTGCGTCTGCGAATGTGAACTTGTCTCGAAGGCAAGAAATTTCGCTACCCGTGCAACAATGTGGAGAACTGAACGCGCAGAGCACAGAGTCTCAGAATAACAGATCTTAGGGGCCTGATATCACCAATGGTCACGTGATTAGTGATTTCGGTATTTTTTATCCCCTTCAAAATGTTTGGTATTTTACCCCAAGCTTGGCTACTTTGCGTTTGTCGGAGTGGATTCCTCGTCACTCAAATATGAAAATCCTATCAAGATATTCATCCTTATTCAAGATCACTATGCTGCTCTTTTCGGCAGCTGCGTAACGACCTGAGTGTCTCCAATCTTCTTTGTAAAGGTTTTGGAAAACTTACACCAAGAGTTAATTAAAACTTTCAAATAATTTCTATTGAGGATTAGACAAGGTCCGACTTTTGGTTATACACGTTCTGGAAATGAAAGTCCACATACTTATTCTAAGGCAACAAAATTTTCGAAACGGCATCAAGTTCGACTCTGGAAGGTTATCGAAACAAATTTGTGGCTGAGGTTTTCTTAGCACAATGAATTGTTTAGTTGTACGCTTTCCTTTGTTACACGTTTTTGCACCGTAGAATCCAAAGTCCGCGAAACGGGCGCGATCTTTATCATCTAGAGCTGGTTAAAATATCACTCAAGTCATAGTGAAATCGCAATAAAAGTGTCTATTTAGCTGAGGCTACATCTCTTCAACTACCGCGATTCGGGGCGAATACGATCGAAGTGTACAAGTTTCCAAGAAAGCAGCTGAATTATTCATTTCAACAAGTCTG